CACACACACACACACACACACACACACACACACACACACACACACACACACACACACACACACACACACACACACACACACCCCTCTCCATGATGGATCCAGATAAAACTTCCTGGTGTTTTCAGTCTTCCATGGTTTCTGCTCCTTTCACGTTTCTCTCCCTCATAGTTTGACTCCTCCGTGTTGCCGTAGCCGCAGCCTGCAGTTTCACAGCTTCACAGCTTCATTTTGACAGAAACACTCCAGCCTCCTCTGCTTTGGCTGCCCGGCTCGTGGTAAAAAAAAAAGGTGGGAGTCGAAAAAGAGGCAGAAAGCCGAGCACAGATTTGGTTCAAAAAAATAATAAAAAAATGATGTTGCCACGTAACATGGAATCAAATCAGTTCACTTCTTTCCTGCAACATCATCCAAGTCTAAAACAGAAGCTGTTTTTTTTTTTATTTCTCTCTCTCTTTCTCAGACAGTCTGGCTCCGGCTCGGTCCGTTTGGCTGAACGAGGAGCCGTTTCCTGTCTTTCTGTGGAGCTCAGCTCCTTGTGTCTCATCCTGTGTGTTTATTTTTGCCAGAGGCAGGTCTGTTCTTTGACTCAGGCCCAGAAGGGAAGTCTTAAATCTCCAGTGAGCAGCAGCAAGGTGACCTGGCTCCTCTGTGGCAGAAGAACAGAATTTCAGGATTTGTTTTTTTGCAGCACATGTGCGTGCATGTGTGTGTGTGTTGTCTTCTTCACGGTGCAACGTTGTTTCCTCTGCTGTCAGACCAGTTGTTTGGTTTGTGTGAGTGTGAAATCGTTGCTGCAGGGTCACTGAAGCGCTTGTTGTGGTGACTCATTGTTGCGAAGGTAGAACGATGTGCTGGGGAGGTAAAACGCTGAGTTGTGCTGCTGCCCTCTGAGCTGATCTGAGAGCGGCTCAGCCTGAGTTTGCGTCACACAGCCGCAACAAAAACGTGTTTAGGATAAACGCTGGAGTTCACAGATTAGCATTTACAGCCTTTTCTTCCTCCGTTTTCACTCCTTCTGACTCATTCTCTTATGTTTCACACTGTAGGCCTGTCACGATAGCAAATTTCACTGGACGATAAATTCTCAGAAATTAATCGCGATAAACGATAATATTATTGGAGACCAGTTTAAACTAATATAATGATATAACAACCAGTTTATGGAAGTTTACAATCCCAAGGCATCGCCAGCTGTATGAACTGAGGACGCTCCTCTGGCTAAATGCCTGTTCATGGACTCTACAGAGGTTAGGAGACCATGCACCTGACAAATACCAGAGTTCACTCCTCTCTATACTAAGATGTAAAAAAAAAAGAGACACGAAGAAAACAAAAAAAGAAGGCAAATGAAAATTATTGTCTTCATTTTTATTTATCTCCCTCAATTTAATTTACGACACAATTAATTGATTTATCGTGACGAGCCTATCACACTGTAGATAAAACATGCAACTTTATCCATTTGTCTGCTATTGGAGCACATGAACAAAATAAATTAAAAAGGAAAGTCTGTGAAGGTTAGCCTGAAGCCAATGTGAAAACAAACATAGTGTTGTCCCTGTTTAAAAGGAAAAAAAATACACACCATGATGAATACAAATCTGATTTAGGACCTCACATAACAGACAGGTGTGGACCAGACCTGGTGACAGCCTGGTTCTGCTGGCCTGGAACCAGATGTGAGCCAGGTCTGGTAGTGATGGTACTGTTATTAAGGCGGCGTACCACAACTGGCCCGGTTGTGGTTTGGTTTATGGTGCTGGCCCATGCATGGATCACCTTTGGCAAACCACATCTAGATCACCCAAACGCCGTCATTCTTTGTGCTATTTCAGGGGTCTCCCAACCTTTTTTTTTCTTAAGAGCTACTTTTTGCAACGTTTAATTTTAAACTTGAACTCAAACCATTGGAATAATCTTGTTTTGCACAAAAAACATTGRCTTCAACTCACATGAATCCGCCACAAAGAACACTAATTTTACATGAATGTGCTTTTGTGTTTATCCATACATATAATAGTGTGTTTCACAATACTAACGTAGGGTTTACTCACGACAGATTTGTGCAAATAACGTCAAGTGACGGGTCTCCGATTTTTTCCCCGCATTGTAGAGTCCAGTGGGAAGAATACACATATCTTGGAATTACTTTGGATTCTCATTTGACTTATCGTGATCATGTACAAGTCTTAACCACTAAGTTGAAACAGAAATTATACGTTTATTCAAAAATTAGATCCAATCTGACATCTTCTGTTTCAAATATCTYTCTTCATGCCATTATACTCTCAACCATGTCGTACTGTTTACCTGTTTGGTCTCTTACAACAAATGAAATCTTAGAACCCATAGTTAGGCTCTACAACAGGGCCTACAAAATTCATAAAATGCCCAAATCAAATTCTGGAAGTGGTTATTCAACTAGATCTGTTACAAAAGGACAACTGATATTACCAACTTTTAAAAACTGTTATGGCCAGAGGTCTTTCTTCTATGTTTATACTAAAGCATGGAATGACATTCCTCAAAACATAAAGTCCATTTCAAAACTACAGCCCTTTAAGAAGAATCTTGTCTGCCATCTGCTGGACACTTTTTGTTGTGCTCATATTTAGACGTCCTATTTTGCAAATGCTGCCTTTTTGAAATTTGGTATGCTTGTTAGTCTTTGTGTCTATGGTGTATAATGATGTGATTGTGATGCTGTAWTTCTGAGTGTTTTATGTGCTGCAGAACAGGAGCCTGCTGTAAAACAGCAATTATGCTGAGTCAGGCTTGATTTTTAATAATCTTTTCCTGTTAAATAAATAAATCAAATCAAATCAAGAAACCCCATGCAGTGACCTACTGTATACTGCAACAGGAGGAGTTTTTACAGTGATGTCACAAGGGGCTATAAAAGGTGTGTGAGAAAACAAATGCCAAAAAAACACGTAACCACGCATTGTCTGCCGATCAACCATACTGAGCCTAAACTGTTTGATTAACAACCAAGGAGAAGGTACGTCTATAGATTGATTGGAATTAAATGAAAGTTTGGTCAGTCACAAATTAAATTTTGCTATGAGCTAKTTTAAAAGAGCRCATGAGCTACTGGTTGCAGACCCCTGTGCTATATGGACAAAGTGTTAGGGTATTGTCTGGGTCAGAACTGGGCCAGACAAATTTTGCTCTTTGGGACCATTACCCGTTTCACAGTCTTACTGAAAAACCTATCAGCGTAGAGAAGATGAACATGTTCGTATTCTCACCCCTGACGATAGCTGCCGCTCTAAAATCCTTTCAAAATAAACTATAGCAGAAATATGCTGGGGGGCTGTCCAAGTTATTTATTTATTTATTTTTTCATTCTAAAAGAGGCACCAAAACTGGAAATTCCATGTGGCTTTTTGTTTTTATTTCTGTTGACATTAATTAGTAGTTAGCAAACAAGCCTATATTGCTTTTCTGCCACCAACTGGTAAGATGTGTGGATCAGGATAGCCATCTTAAAACAAACAAACAACAACAAAAAAACCTTCCTCCCTCGTTAATATCGAGTGGTAGGCATGATTCTGRTAATCAGCTAATAGCAGAGCTAAATTTTGGTTTGGAAGATTAGCTTTTTCACTAACTATGAAAACCATTAGCGGACCAGTTAGCCTCTGCTAAATTAGGATTTGCCAACTTTAAGTCAGCTAACGGCTAACTAACAAGCTAACAGGTTTCTGTCAGTCCCACCAGTTTTCAGCTGGAAGGAGACGAAGACGTGACGCAGACTGAGGGACTGTCACCTTGGCTGTTAGTGATTAGCTGTTAGCATTAGCTTATGCTAATTTTTACTTGTTTAACTGTTTAGCATTAYCCTCAGCTAATTTGTACTTGTTTAGCTGTTTAATGTTACCTTCTGCTAATTTTTACTTTTCTTTGGTCTTCTTTTATTTTGCTTTATGAAACCCATATCTTGTATTAATCAAAATGTTTTAATGTTTATTATTATTTCCGGGACACATATTGGTGCTTTTGGATAAATTTTTTCTGACAGTTCAGCAAAGCCAGGAAATCTAACTCATGACTCACTGTTCTTATATTTGTACCTTTTCAGGTCCAGACTGCATGTTTCTTGCCACTTCTAAGCCTTCTAATCTTTTCATTTGCTCTTTGTTTGTTTCCCCACACCTCAACTCGTTGTAGAAAAGCAGCTTAAAAGTCTACGTTTGCTTCAGACAGATGGACTCCAGGTTGAGGACAAAACTTTACGAAGCCACATAGAAAAGAGAAACATTTGATATAAAAAATATAAAACTAATCATGAAAAACTGGCATTTTTAGTTGTCTGTAAAAGCTGTAAATGTTTTGCTCTCGTTGTCTTCTGTGTACAACATACAATAAGCTATTTTTAGTCGGTTTCCAGATATAGAAAAGCAGAAAAAGCCGTCCTGCTTTTCTAAAACATGTAATTTTCATTCTGTGGAAATGATTTCTGGGAGGTTGAGAGGCGGCGGCAGAGAGAAGTGATCACATGTTTCTTCAGCCTTCCCTTTTCTTTACTCTTCATCTCGCTCTCAGGCTCTTTTCCCTCCTACTCTCTGTGTCACAGGCTCTGCTGGTGTGGTGGGTTTGATTGAAGGAGGGTTTTTTTTTTTGGAGGATGTGAAGATCGAGTTATAGACAACATGTGCAGGACTCCTCGGCCACCTCAGGCTGACACTTCCCCCTCTCCTCCATAATCTGTTTATCTCCTCTCATCCCGGGCTTCAGGACGGCGGCGTCTCCTCC